TCCCCCCCCCCCCCCCCCCCCCCCCCCCCCCCCCGCCCCCCCCCCCCCCCCCCCCCCCCCCCCCCCCCCGTCAGAATGGTAGAGGAAACGTACTTGTAATCGCCAGGTTCAATATGCGACCCGTTAGCGAACCTTCCGAGCCAGTAGTAGATACCCCACTTGTTGCGCGGCTGAGTGAACAAGGGGAAGGAGAAGATGTCGTCCTCGCTGTCCTGGCCGGGGGTGAACCACGAGGAGTCGGCCGTGCCGTTCCAGCTCGTCGCCGACCCGACGTACTTGTTCTGGCCCACGACGGGCGGGTACGTCCAGTCGGATTCGACGTAGTCGCCGGCGAAGATCTTGATGGGAAAAAAAAAAATCAGCTATCCGCTCATCCCTAACAACTCGCGAACTTTAAGGAAGAAGAGGGAGGAAACTTACATCCCAGCGGAGCTCCTCCGTGCCGTAGACGAACCCGGTGTTCAGCTTAGGGAAATCCTGGGAATCGCGAGCCAGGTCGAAAGTGAAACTGTTATTGCAACGTTAGAACTTTTCCTCTCGTGAAGATACCGCACAGATCCCGTGGAAGGAGGTAATAAAAAGAGTCGCTTACTTTGACTTTTGCGCGATTCTGGTGTCGGAGACACCCGAGGTCAGCCAAGGGTAGTTCTCTCCGAAATCCCAAATGTTGGTGATGGTTTGGTTGAGATCGCAACCAACGCCTGTTTCCATGATTAGCGAACATCGAGATATGCATGATAGGCTAGCGACTAACCGAAGTATGGGACTCCGAGTTCCTCGCCGTTGCTACCGCTTATCAAGATCTTCCCGCTGTAGACGGGTAGATTGCTTGTGTTGAGTCCCTCCGGAGCGGTGAAGGTAAATCTGCATAAACATGTTAGCCACTAGACCTTAAAAACGTATGAGTATTTAGCATCGCATGTGCATACTCAGCTACTTTCGTCTCAGCAGGCCCGACAACGAATTCTCCTTGCGGCAACGCCACCTGAGGGGCAATCTTCTCGGGGTGGAGATCGGAATAGAGCTTAAGAGCCGGGAGGAACGACTGCGGCTCGCCCGGGATGGCGGGGTTCCAGGAATCGTAGCCGCCGGCATCCTGCAGCGCGAAGGTGTACGTGACAGGTGTAGTCCCGTGGTTCGCGATCTCCACCGACTGCTTTGCGGCGAAATGCGCCGTGTCGTTGAGCTCGAACTTGCGGCCGTCGAAGCTGAGCTCGGTGGTAGAGTTGAGCACCCGTCCGGCGTCGACAAAGCCGGAGCCGACTTGGGTCGTAGGCGCCCAGAAGCCGTAGTCGGTAGCCGTGGTGGCCCAATCGGCCCAAGGCACAGCGCGGGCCGTGCCCATTACGCGTGCCGTCAATCGCTTCGCCCAGGCGGGATCGTTTGCGTGAGCAGCACGTCCGCCGTTCTTGCCGACCCACAGCGCGGCAACGCCCGCGATGTAAGGGGTGGCCATACTGGATCCGCTAAGCACCCGATAAGCATCGGTAGGGTAAGTGGACAGGATCTTGGTACCGGGCGCGACGACGTCCGGCTTGAGCGCGAGGTCGTAGGTGCTACCCCACGACGTGTACCTCGCCGGTCGGCCCCCGCCGGCGTTGTACAACCCAACATAGTTGGCAGTGTCGATATCGAAAGAAGCGGTGACATTACCTCCGGCGATAAGAGCGTCGATGATCGCCTTCCCCGCGCGGGCCTCGATCGCTGCTACGAGACCGGGGGCGCTGGTGTTGGCGTAGACGCTTTGGTACGGTCCATCGTCGTTGTAGAACAGGACATACTCGGCACCGAGGGCGGCGAGGTTGGTATGCTTCACGCCAGTGGCACACCCGCCAATCCTAGCAACGGCTATGGTTCCGTTGAAATTGGGGGTGTCGGCTGGTAGTGGCTGGCAGGCGTCGTTCTCCACGGATGAGTTGAGCGTCACCGGCCTGAGGGGCCAGTTCAGAACGGTCTTCGGGAAGAAATCAGAGGCGGGGATGTAGGCGACCTGAGTCTTGTTTGATTGACCGTCCACGTTGAAGTCGGCCGAGAAGGCCTGGGCAGGAAACTCTCCGGGCTCGGCAGCTCCCACGGTGAGAACGCTCTTCCCCGACGCGCCGTTGCTAGCGTCGAACGGGCCATTGTCGCCGTCGTTGCCTGCCGCAATAGCAATGACAACACCTTGCTCGACCATCCTGGAAGCCAGCACGGCCCAGGCATTGGAGGTGAAGCCGCTGGTCTCTCCTAGACTGGCACTGATGATATCCGCCTAAAATAGTGGTCTCGTGTTAGTCAACGTATACACTGAAAGCTTTATCATCTAAGCATAAACAGGTGAGATGGTTCAGTTCACTTACGCCTGAGTCGAAGGCCTTGAGGAATCCTTCGATGACCACTTCCTCGTTTGAATAACCACTTGACCCGAAGACCTTGAAGGAAAGCAACTTGGCACCAGGAGCAACACCAACAAATCTATTTCCGACGAAGTTTAGCGAGATGCAATAATACGTATGTGCATATGTTGGAAAGGCAACTCACTGGTCACTCTTGCCGGCAATGATACCAGCAACATGAGTACCGTGTCCATATTCGTCCATCGGATCGTTGTCAGGTTTCGGTGGTCCATCAGGCCACGCTAATGTCAAAAACATAAATTAATATCGTGTATACACATCTCACGAAATCATGGAATGAAACCCACAATCGCCGACAACATCATAGCCGCCTATCACAGTGAAGTCCGGGCCGATACCTCCGCCGAGAGCAGGGTGGGTGTACTGGACGCCGCTGTCGACGATGGCGACTACAGCTCCCTCGCCAATGATTCCGGCTTGGTGAAGCTTCTCGACGCCGGTGGAGCCGTGCACCGAGTAGTTAGAGGCGGCGGCATCGTCGCTAAATGATTCCCCTTCGAACGCGGGCGATAGGAGGCGCACCATAGTCGACTTATAAACCGAAGCCACGACTGGGCTGTCCTCGTCGGCGTCGAGGGCATCGGTGAGCGACTCGGCATTGCAGTGGCCGTCGCATTCGATGCTCATGCCGGGGAAGAGGTCGGAGTCGAACTCCTTGACGACGTGGAGTCCGGGTAGGCCCGCGACCTTAGATGAGATGTGGGCTCTCTGCGCACGCGACTTCAGCTCGACGATGAATCGTCTTGGCGTGGCGCTATCCCCGATCTTCGCAACGTTGTTGGGGTCGCGGCGCGAGAGAGGCTGGAGGCCCCATGCGCTGCCGGAAGCTCCGAGCAGCAGGGCCAACAAAGAATTGGTCGCGCGCATCTTGTCGGTTCACACAACACACGTAAATTGATGTGTGTATTGAAGTTGAGATGCGACATGGCGAAAGTCGACCGTCGCGACCTTATATTAATCAACCTTCTGTATGTAGGTAGGTAGATCACCGTTTGCCAAGACGTGACGGTCTCGTATTTCGAAGGTTACATCGACGCCAATGTCAACAACTACGACTCCGTATAATGTGGGTTGTTTGCAATGTGGATTTTACGCAGTAATACCCTTTCTGTTCTCTTTGAAGCGCTGCCCAAGGCCTTGGGCAGTTTGTTGCCAACCCATCACGGGCATGGGAAGCCCTTGCTTGGGGTCCGGGGTGTTGAAGATCTGGACGTGGAGCCCCGGTAGGGCAGGTCGTTTAATTTATGATGCCATCGTATTCCGACGATTGCGAAGAAACAAAAGTCTCAGAGTAGTTAGGATGAACATGAAGAACAAGGGGAGAAGAGGATAAAAAGGGGGGAATAAATTCTTTTTCGTAACTTGATTGGATTGTATAATTAGGTAAGCAAGGGTAAATGCATATGTATATTCCGAGTTTAGATCCTAATTTGCATTTATGCTTGTTAGCGCAGTTATCGATAACTTACTGGGTTTAAGTGATTTGCAAGGCTATTCATTACGAACTTTTTTAGCAACGATGAATCGGGAGATCGGAGATTCCACTTCTATTCCGTTTCTATTCCTAATCCGATTCCCTTCGATTCCACCTGCTATCTAAGTATGTATTATTCTCCGACTTGGAAAATAATTGTATAGCATTAAACGTTGCAGTGTTTAAACGATTATTCTACATTTCAAGTAAGAACGATAAGAAATAGCTTAAGCCGATAATGTGTTATTACGGTATACCGAATACATGACCATTCAACTTAAGGCCGATCACACCCGAAAAGTCCAAACACTTTTCATTCTTTGAACGGCTTCTTATTCAACGCGGCGCAAATTTATGTCCTTTACTTTATTTTACTTTACTTAAGCAAGTGCTCAACTTTACTATGGACTGACAATACAAACGACGTGTTCCTGAGCTGAATGTGGCACTCTCCCATTCCATTCCACCTACTTTAGGTATCTTGCTATGTAATTCATCATACGATGCCGTCAGCATCATACGACGAAGCTAGTCACACGAACCGGCGCCAACCTATAATTTTCCTCGCCTCATGACATAAAAATAACCCATTGATCAACATCCTCCTACCTCCTACCTCCAATGCATCGACTTCACCTTTCCAACATCTACGCAAGGTAATGCCAATACGAATCC